GAAAGGGATGGAGGGAGGGAGTGATTGATTATCTGGTATCAATCTAGTCCGGGATTTAGCAATTGCATTGATTACGTGAATGAACGTTGGGAAGGACTATAGGATATAGCTCTAGGGTCTTCAAACTTGACAGCTTTAAGACTTGTGGACTTCAACTCCCAGAATTCCTCCTCCAGTCATGTTAGCTCAGGAATTCTGGGAGTTGAAGTCCACAAGTCTTAAAGCTGTCATGTTTGAAGACCCTTGATAGCCGATCTATGTACGATCCTCCACTGCCGTCTCCTGCCCTGTTTCTTGGCAACTTTCAGATGAGTGGTTGACTGAGGAATGCTGGGAGTTGAAATCCACCCATCTGAAAAGCAAAGTGGCTGGGGAATTCTGGCAGCTGTGGCTGATCTTCAAGCATCTTGGCTGGGGGATGCTGGGAGCTGAAGTCCACCACCTAAAAAGCAAACTGGCCAGGGAATTCTGGGAGTTGTGGTTGAAGAATGCTGGGAGTTGAAGTCCACCCATCTAAAAAAAAAAAAAAACCAAGCTGAATGGGGAATGCTGGGAGTTGAAGTTCACCCATCTAAAAAACAAGCTGACTGGGGAATTCTGGAAATCAAAGTCCAGACATTTTCAAGTTGCCTGGTTGAGAAACAAGTAGTCCTCAAATTTCAATGTTCAGCAACCATTCAAAGTTACAGTAGAACTCAAAAAAGTGACTTATGACTGGTCCCTGTACTTATCACTATGGCAACATCCCTGCAGTCATGTGATCAAAATTCAGGTGCTGGTCAACCAGCATATATTTACAAAGGATGCAGCATGCCAGGGTCATATGATCACCATTTGTGACTTTCCCAGCTGGCTTCCAACAAGCAAAGTCAGTGGGGGTGGGCGAAGCCAGATTTGCTTAATGACTGTGTGATTCACTTAACAACTGCAATTATTTTCTTAACAAAAAAGATCACTCACATAACAACCACCCTTGCTTAGCAATTGAAATTCTGGTACCGATTATGATCGTAAGCCGAGGACTACCTGATGAGTATATTGTTTGAGAATTGCTTGTGCATTGCGGATGGTGGCCTGGGTTTATCCCTTGTCCTAGATTGTGGTTTATTTTGGCCAGGGTGTGTTGAAGCGGTCGCAGAGATTGCATTCAAACACCACCTTAAGTCATATAAGGCAGAGGTGGTATTCAGTAGGTTCTGACCAGTTCTGGAGAATCGGTAGCAGAAATTTTGAGTAGTTCGGAGAACCGGCAAATACTGCCTCTGATTGGTTCTGCCCCCATCTATTCTCTGCCTCCCAAGTCCCAGCTGATCTGCTGGGTCTCCTTTGGTTGCGCTGCACAGGAGAAAGGAGCTGGAAAGCAGGTTAGTAGGGTGGGGAGGGAATGGGATTTTGCAGTTTCCTTCCCCTGCCATGCCCACCAAGCCATGCCCACCAAGCCACACCACACCCAACAAGCCATGCCTGCAGAACCAGTAGTAAAAAAATTTCAATCCCACTATTGATATAAGGACAACAATTACTACCATCAAGGACCTGTATACTGCACGAGTCAAAAAGAGGGCTGTGAAAATATTTACAGACCCCTCACATCCCGGACATAAACTGTTTCAACTCCTACCCTCAAAACGACGCTATAGAGCCCTGCACACCAGAACAACTAGACACAAGGACAGTTTTCCCCCCGAAAGCCATCCCTCTGCTAAACGAATAATTCCCTCAACGCTATTCAACTATTTACAAAGTCTGCACTACTATTACTATTAATCTTCTCATCACTCCTTATCACCCATCCCCTCCCACTGTATGACTGTAACTTTGCGGCTTGTATCCTTACATTTTATATTGACATTTTATATTGTTTCTTAGTATGATTTGATTGCTTATTGTACCCTGTGACTATCATTAAGTGTTGTACCTGATGATTCCTGACTCTTGACGAATGTATCTTTTCCTTTATGTACACTGAGAGCATTTGCACCAAGACAAATTCTTTGTGTGTCCAATCACACTTGGCCAATAAAGATTTCTATTCTGTAAGGGTTTATTTGGGGTGATTTTAATGCACACCATAAACCTACGAAGATCCTGAAGCTCAGGTACTTTGGCCACCAAAGGAGAAGACAGGTAGTCCTCGACTTACAACAGTTCATTTAGTGACCATTCAAAGTTCCAATGGCCCTGAAAAAAAGTGACATGACCATTTTTCATACTTATGTCCCTTGTAGCATCCCCATAATCTTGTGATCTGCTTTTGGATGCTTGGCAACTGGTTCATATCAATAGTGGGATTCAATTTTTTTTACTACTGGTTCTGTGGGCGTGGCTTGATGGGCGTGGCAGGGGAAGGATATTATAAAATCTCCAGTCAGAGGTGGTATTTGCCGGTTCTCTGAAATACTCAAAATTTCCGCTACCAGTTCTACAGAACTGATGAGAACCTGCTGAATACCAGCTCTGGTTCATATGTATGACCATCACTGTGTCCCAGGGTCATGTGAACCCATTTTGCGACCTTCTGACAAGCAGAGTCAGCGGGGAAGCCAGATTTGGTTAACAACCTGGTTACTAATTATCAACTGTAGTGATTCACTTAACTGTGGCAAGAAAGTTCGTGGAATGCGGGCAAAACTCACTTAGAAAATGTCTCACTTAAACAACAGAAATCTTGGGCTCCGTTGTGGTCGTAATTCGAGGACTATCTGTGGTTGCAAAAGACCCTGATGTTGGGAAAGACGGAAGGCCAACGGAGTAGGAGACAGATAACAGAATAACAGAGTTGGAAGGGACCTTGTAGGTCATCTAGTCCAACCCCCTCTCCCCTCCCCCAAGCAGGAGACACCAGAGGATGGGTTGGTTAGATAGTATCATTGACCCAATTTATTTATTTTTTATTTATTTATTTTATTTATTTTTATTTATTTTGGTTTCTCAATTGCTTACAAGATAATAGATATAAGTAAAAACATAGTTATGAGTACATGGATACATAAAAGAAAAATAAAAAATAAAAGAAACAATAGGACAGGGATGGTAGGCACAATTGGTGTGCTTATGCACGCCCCCTACAGACCTCTTAGGAAAGGGCTGAGGTCAATAGTAGACAGTCTAAGGTTAAAGTTTTGGGGGTTTGGAGAAGAAACCACAGAGTCAGGTAGAGTATTCCAGACATTGACCACTCTGTTGCTGAAGTCGTATTTCCTGCAATCAAGTTTGGTGCGATTAACCTTGCGTTTGTATCTATTGTGTGCTCTTGTGTTGTTATGGTTGAAGCTGAAGTATTCATTGACAGGTAGGACATTGCAATGTATGATTTTATATACCATACTTAGATCAGACCGAAGACAGTGTAATTCAAGGTTTTCTAGGTCTAGAATTTCAAGCCTAGTGGCATAAGTTATTCTACAACGAGTAGAGGAGTGGAGAACTCTTCTTGTGAAATATTTCTGGACTTTCTCAACTGTGCTAATATCAGACACGTAATGTGGGTTCCAGACTGATGAGCTGTATTCGAGTATTGGTCTAGCAAATGTTTTGTATGCTCTAGTTAGTAATGTGATATTACCAGAGAAAAAGCTACGTAGGATTAGGTTAACAACTCTTAATGCCTTTTTGGCTATGTAGTTACAATGGGCTCTAGCACTTAGATCATTAGAGATGAGTACTCCAAGGTCCTTGACAGAGTTTGGATCCTCAACAAGGTCTTGACTATTCAGCCTGTATTTTATTTTCTGATTTTTTTTGCCAATATGTAGGACAGAGCATTTATTTGTTGAGATTTGAAGTTGCCATTTGTTTGACCATTCTGATACATAGTTGAGGTCTTTTTGAAGGGTAGCAGTATTGTCTGTGGTGTTGAACATGAATTTGGGCAAACTCTGAGACAGTGGAGGACAGTGAGGTTGAAAGTGAAGATTCAAACACAACTTAGCAACTGAAATCTAGGACTGCCATATAAAGGCTGTAAGAATTATGGACTGACCACTCTCTCCATATAATATCGTCTCCATATAATATCGTCTCCACGGGAAAAGTGCCACACGACTGGTACCGCAGCACCACTGTTCCGATCTGGAAGGGAAAGGGCAGCCCAGCGGACTGCTCCAACTACAGACCGGTCAGGTTACTGTCACACACTATGAAGATCTTCGAACGCGTCCTCGATAAGCGCATTCGGGACATCGTCGACATCAGCGTCAACCAGGCCGGATTCATCAAGAACTGCGGCACCACCGACGCCATCTTCGGTGTGCGGATGCTGATGGAGGCTCACAGAGAGAAGAAAATCCCGCTCCACACCGCCTTCTTGGACTTGGAAAAGGCCTTCGACCGAGTCCCGCACGATCTCATCTGGTACGCACTGCGAGATCATGGCGTGCCCGAGCTGCTCGTACAATGGGTCGAACTCCTATACAGATGTCACAAAAGCCGTGTAAAAGCGGCAGCTGGGATATCAGAGGAGTTCAATATCACCGTCGGCGTACACCAGGGCTCTGCTCTCTCACCACTGCTGTTCATTCTG